GTTTTTTTTTTTTTTTTTTTTTTTTCCCTCAGGAATGACTGTATTTGAAGCAAGAAGGCTTTTAGAAGTATACAAAGAGTCTCAGGAATCCACAGCGGAAATGACAAGTCACAAAAAAAATGCGGCGAATAGACAAAATCAAGCAAGCGTGAACAAGGATAAAAACCTTGGCTGGATCCCAAATCCCGGAATGACATGAGCAGATTTTATAACGAAGTGTACGAATCATTTTATTTGGAACGGGTTGGCTATTTTGGTGGAAACAAGAAGGCCTTTAAGAAAGCATTCCATGAAGAAGCGAGAAGGGAATACGACAATGAGAAGGCGGTAAAAAAAAATTAGAGAGCAATTAGCGCAACTGAAATCTGTAAAGGATCCTTCTAAGGCTGGATTTCTTCTAAGAGAAAACCACATTCTCAAGCCGCATGATTCAACGACCATAACGCAGAACATGTTACACATAAAGAGGGTCGAAACTTCAATCGAAACTTTACAAAAAAAACCTAAAGGAACACTTAGAAAGAACAATCCATTCATCAGGTAGAGTTTTAACAGGACATAAAACTGCACATGACTTTGATGAGCAAAAGCTAACCGAATTGCAGGGTTTTAGAAATGAATTACACACTTTAATAACTAGTCTAAGTCAGCTCCAAGAAACCTGCAAAGCAGCATTTAAGCACCCTTTTCTGCAATGAAAAGAAAATCAAGAAAAAGGAAACAAAATACCCAAAAGAGTGTGAAGCGGAAAAAGGCGAGGCATGTGGCCAGGACGACTGAGGTCCTCAAGAAGATTGCGCCTGATTGGTCGGAGGGTAAGATTTGTGAGAAGGAGGATTTGTGCGGAGACATCGTAAAAGAACTTGGAAAAAGAGAGCAGAAATGGGCGGTAGCTTTGATGTTTGATCAGTGCGAACTTTTGAATGACAGCGCGAAATCAGAGCTTAGAACAATGTTAGGGTTTTCTGAAAGTGAGAGTAGCTCTAATGCAAGTGACGGCGATGAAAGTAGCGACCAAGACAACCTAAGTAGCATCAATGACAGCAAAGACAGTGAAAGAAATAGCGATGACGGGGCGATGATAGTGATGTAACTGAACAATGTCAGGAGGAGGATTCGGGAAGTGTCTTTACTGCAGTGGAAGCATACGACAGCAGCAGTGCAGAAGACATTGGCCCCTACTGGAACACAATGGAATGCACTCCTTACTATGAGCCCATTGAGTAGTCGTTTATACATCTTCACTGGACATTGGCAATATGTTTGATACCGTTACTGTTTAAGACTGATTGAGTTTTATAGCATACCAGAATTTGTTGATTTTTAAAATAACAATAAATCAAGTGATGTTTATAAAATTGTTCTGGGTGTGAGCTTTTTCACTGTGCAATTAAGCTTTGAGTATACGATTCTATGAAGATTCTCTTGCCATGCTAAAGTCAATAGCACAAAACCCATTTGTGCACATCGCCCAAAGTTTTAATAAAAGGCGCCCAGAAATTGTAACCCTCCCCTATAAAACGTGGGCCCATAAAATTATGGCCCACCCCAAATGGGCGCCCAAAAAAACACAGCCCCCCCCCAAAATTTACCACCCCCCCCCCCCCCCCCAATAGTTAATGACCGCTCCCTAAGCTAAGAAGTTTTCAGTTCAAACTCATCCACAATATTCTTCCGACCAACCAATGCCTTTGGAAAATGAATGTTAAATCTTCTCCAAAATGCGAACAGTGTGATGCTCCTTGTGAAACTATTAGCCATATTTTTCACGAGTGTCCTGCGGTAAAACGTTTTTGGGAAAAAGTCATAGATTGGTGGAATCGTAAACGTTCTGGAAAGTTCTTTATGGATACAAACCTGAATCTAACAGCTTTCATACTTTTAACCATTATCTCTTAATTGCTAGATATTACGTTTACTTAGCTAGAAACAAGTTTGAGATCCCAGAGCTGGAAGTTTTCATTGTTCTCCTGGAAATTATAATCCAGTGCGAAAGAGAAATTGCAAAAACAAACGGAAATCTTAACAAATACAGAAATAGGTGGACCACGCTGTGCATTTCTGATTAGTGTTGGATTTATAGTAATTTAGCAAACATTTTTCTATTTGTTCTGCTTGTTGTTGTTTATCTGTTGAACCTTCGTATTTCGCTTTATTTTGCTTGTTTGTTTATTTATTTCTTTTACTGTTTCGCCTCCTTTTTATTTGCCGCCGTGTTATTGTAAAGTTTATTGTAATGTTATGTTAAATGATGTTTAATAAATAAATTATTAAAAAAACAACAACAACAACAAAAAAAGTAATATTTACATATATATGAATTAGAACCTTGGTATAATGAAACCTCATTACAGCAAACAAATTTTGGCCCAGGGGAGACTCCCATATACAAGTGACAGAGATGCCCCTCATCCAAATAGTAGTGGAAATTGCAGATTTTAGTTTCACTTAGAGTGTTTGGGACAGAAAACAAGTATTTTTCCCATTCTGGTACCTCCCAGACCTGTGGGTTTAGAGATTTACAGAACCACCGTGAAAGTGCGTCTTTGGAATAGCACCAATTTAGATGCCGTCTGTTATTTAGTATGGTCTCCTTTGGGATTCAGATTAAGCCTGAGCCACACCAGTGCCGCATTAGAGGTTTAATTATAATTTTGTGACGAGCATCCCCTTTGGATTTCAAGGGAACATCTTGCCATGTAAATAAATGCATTAAATGTTAATACAAGCACAGAAGTTGTCCTTTTATCACAGAACTACTCGGGCAAGACATGGAGGCATTACCGCCATTCTTCAGATTGTTTTGCATACCCAAAACATCCCAAAATCGAAAATTTTAACCCCTTCCCAAAAAAACCTTCAACCATCATTGTCACTTGAAATCCACAGTACCCTTCTTAAGAGTGGTGTACAACAAAATATGTAAATTATTATGTAAAACTAGATATTGCCTCCGTTGCATTATAAAGATCCCCACATTTAATAATGATGATAGTGATGCTTCACTCACAGTGTACATGAAAAAGCCTCTCAGCGATAAGTTTTAATTTCATACTTTTGGTGCAGATACATATAGTTTAGCTGTAGTGAATTCGGTTAAAGCCAAGCAGTGTTGATTTCATCTTCACAGTGTAGATTTCACTTTTCATTGTTAACATAGCGTGCTGCAGTGATGGTTGTAGTTTGATTCTTTTGCAGGCAATGTGGATTTCATTGAGAAGCACCATACTACCCTCACAAGTGTCCTTGAGGACTGCCTAGAACCAAAGCCAACCACCTGCAATAAAGAGACAGGTGCAAGCAGCGAATCCAAAAGTGGTCCAGAGGCCTTAAGAAGTAAATTTTCGTATATTTAAAGGGTACTCAATATTAAAATTAAGTGCTCTATGTTTTGCCCCACATGTATTCATGGGGTGAAGCAGTGGGTAACTGATAAACTCGTATTACTATTTTTGTCTGTATATTGAAGTCTCTGTTGTTGCAGGGTTCCAAATCAAAAGTAGCTGAGAATAGCTAAAATGTCCTTCCTTGTGTGAATATCTGAATGCAGCAACTGTCAAGACCGTTCTGGTTGACTTTTGTGACTGTTAAGCATGTTGCCAATTTTTTTGGAAAGGTCAGAAAGCCTATCCCAGGTCTTCATCATTGTGCTGTCATGGCTTATCACCATTTCGAAGCACATAAACCCACTGAACTGGGGTAGAGTCTTTCTGGCATATGACATGTGCCAATTGGATGGCTTAAACGCTGCAAAAATTCCCCGGCCATGGCCCTTTCCTTGGAGCAAAGCATGGATGTGTATACAAAAGTGATCAATAATTTACACATCTGAAACCATAAAGAACCATTATGCCAAGAAGCGTTCAGTCCAGCCACCCTGAAAAAGGAACTCCCTGAAGGAAACACTGTGGTTATAGAACAAACATTGTGTAGCTCTCTTGGTTTAAGAAAACTTTATGTGCCATGCAAAAAGTCCACCATCTATTTTACTTACATTGTATGGTAAAACGTCGTAACAATTACACCCTACTACTTGCTACAAGAAGCCATTACTGCCACAGGCTCGAGGAGCAGGCAGAGGTGGGCAAAACTCATAACTTATTCTTAATACACTGTATGCACAATACCAATCATTTTATGACTACATGCGACGGTTGCCACCCACCGTAATTCGCAGTTGCTTGGACTCGGGTCAGAGGTCATATTTTTAAGTGCAATTTTTGCATTTTACCTTCTTTGTGAAAGCTCGTGATTTCATTTACCCAAAAATTTAATTGCGCCAATTTGAAGAAAGCAGAATGCTCTTTCAGACTAAGCAAGCCTTTTTGGTTAAAGCAATGTACCAATACGCGTTTTTGGCTCTTGAAAATATGCTAAATTTTGACCTTTTCAAAAGCGATTTTGAGTCAACAACTTTGAAAATTTGTTTAAAAATCTATTGTCGACTAAATCGCAATCTTATTAGTTCTAGTTATAGACGAAAAGATGTGACATGCAGTTATATTTTAATGACAATCTTTATTATTAAATATACGAGCCACTAAAACTGCTCTAATTTTTGCATAATTTTTGCCCATTTTAGGCCTCGGGAGGAAAAAATTCGTTAAAAAATACCGTTCAATCGATCTTACTTAAACCAACGATTTTGTAACTAGGGCCCACAGAGCTTCATTCTGGCTGAGTTTGAGGGGAGGTCATTTTTTGACTATTTCCACGTGTAGTTTAGCCTTTCTGTCGCTGCCTCTACCAGAAAAACATATAGCTCAGGTGAAGGAAGATTTCTAGATTTCTGCACCCTTCATACACGACTTTCATAATGGCCGACGGCACGCCGGATTGGGATTGATTTCAGTATGGAAACGAGGCCAGTGAGGCCACGCTTGGTTTGAGTTGTAAACAAAACAGAGAATCAAAATGTCTTGATCGCTTTCTTCAGGCACAACATCTGTTCAATTTAGTTCAATTACTGATCGCGATACCGTATGATTATCAAGAACGAAATGCCAACTCACTGCTGTGTGCCAGAATGCACAAAGAAAGGTTGCCATGATGAAAATGGAAACAAAATATCGTTCTTTAAATTTCCGATCGATGACCGTCAGTTGAAGAGGAAATAGCTACACGCTATGAGAAGAGATGAAGGGAAGTACTTCAAAGTGACTGAGGCTACAAAAGTATGCTCCAGACACTTCAGGCCACGTGAGATTAAGAAAACCCTCGCTGGTAAAAATGAACCGAGAGCTGGAGTTGTGCCTTCTGTGTTTGAATGGATTAGAACATCACCACGCAAGAGAAAGGATCCGATTGCACAAAACTTCGAAATACCTCCAAGTAAAGCAGCCCATAAATTAAATTTTTCATCTGTAGATTTAACGGATGACGTTCTGGATAACTCTGCAAACAACGACCCAGTTGAATTCGCCGAGAGCACCGATGGAAGCACATCATTTTCTTGCAGTGTGAGAGATGCGGAGATGCAAACAGAACCGGAAATTGGAAGCGAGACAGAACTTAGACAGCAAGTATTGGAACAAAAATCTCAGTTGGAAATTGCTTTTCGACGTATTGAGGCGCTTCAAAAACAATTATTTTCGGTAGACATTTAAAGACGATGACTCTTCAATGAGATTTTTCACTGGTTTCCCAAACTGGAGTACATTTTTGGCTGTCTTTAATTATTTGAATCCACGAGATGAAGGGGAAAACATAGCCTACTGGCTCAGTCAAACGTTTCTGTTCTAGCGGCATTCCATGATGAATCAGAGGGAGAACCGTCAAGAAAACTGGGCAGACCAAGAAACTTGAGGCCAATTGATGAATATTTTGCTGTTATGTGCAGACTCAGACAAGGCCTACCTGAAGAACATCTTGCACATCTTTTGAAAGTTTCATTGTCTACAGTAAGTCGGGTTTTTATTACCTGGCTTAATTTTATGTACCTAAGGTTAGGGCAAATCAATATTTGGCCCTCTAGAACAGCTATTGACAAAACTATGCCGGAGGATTTTAAGAAAAAAAATTCATCGACCAGAGTTATTAATGACTGCACGGAAGTTAGGTGCCAGATGCCAAGTAGTCTACAACTGAATGGTGAATTGTTCAGTAATTACAAACACCGTACAACCCTTAAAGGTCTAATTGGAATCAGCCCCGGAGGTGCCATAACCTTTATAAGTCAACTCTACACAGGAAGCATTTCAGATCGGGAGATAGTCGCGAGAAGTAGTTTCCTTGATTTGCCTTTTGAAGACAATGACTCAGTCATGGCAGACAAAGGGTTTACCATTCAAGATCTGTTACCAATGGGAGTTTCTTTCAACATTCCCCCTTTTCTAGGAAGTTCTAGCCAAATGCCTGCTGAGGATGTTGTGAAGACTCAAGAAATTGCCAGCTTGCGCCTACATGTAGAATGTGCAATCAACAAGATACAAAATTTCCACATTTGGGATGGGGTTATACCCCTCCACCAGCTT